CAGATTGGCAGCATCACTGTGTGGACCCCTCATTGGCCATCCAACTTGGAGTGATGCCTCTGGCTGGTGATATCTCTTGCCCCTGTCCAGGGTGAGCCCTGGCACCAAAATGCCAATGGCCTGAACTTGATAGTGGCAACGTCTCAGTACCCTGTGGGCAGAGTTGTCCCCTCTGACCCATGCTACCTGCCAGGGGCTGGATGGTTCCTGTCCCTCCTTCATGCTGTAAGTCTCAGGTGGCTTCATGGCCAGCTCTCTGCCCACTGGCAACATCCCCAAGTTGGGGTCTGCTCTGCACCCAGTAGGATAGTTTATCCTCCTGCTGTCAAAAAAAGGCTTTGCAGTTGTTGTGGTTTAACCCCAGCTAGCAACTAAGTTATCGCTCAGCTGCTGGCTCCCTCCCCCTGTCCTCAGCCCCTGTCAGGAGGAGAATTGGAAAGAGAAGGCAAACCTTGTGGGCTGAGAGAAGAAAAATTTAATAACTGGAACAACAACAACAAATTAATAATAAGAATTGTAATAATAACTTATGGGAGAGAGACTAACAGGATCTAAGAGAAAAAAGTGATGCACAACCCAGTTGCTCACCACCCATTGACCGATGCCCATCCCATTCCTGAGCAGTGACTGGCCCCTTTAGGTAAATCCCCCAGTTTATATACTGGGCATAATGTTCTATGGCATGGAATATCCCTTTGGCCAGTTTGGATCAGCTGTCCTGGCTATGGTCCCTCCTGGATTCTTGTGCAGCTCCTCACTGGCAGAACATGGGAAATGGAAAAATCCTTGGCTTAAAGTAAGGCACTACTTAGCAACAACTATAACATCTGTGGGTTATCAGCATTGTTCTCATACTGAATCCAACACACAGCACTGTACTGGCTACTAGGGAGAAAATTAACCCAGTCCCTTCCAGAATCAGGAGAGCAGTTGATTGTTTCCTCCCCCGCACCACCCCCTCCACTCCCACTCCTGACCGCTCAGTATCCATGGAACTCAATGACATCACAGACCTTGGAATGTTGGTTGTTCCAGCTGTTGTCCAGAGCCAAAACATAGAGGTGTCTGGTCCTCCACTCTCTCCTGAACTCCCTCCTGTTCTAGACGGAGGGATTTTGGTGGCTGCCTCTTCTCCCACAGGCATCAGTGAGGCTGCAGAGGTTGACACTGCTTGTCAGTGTCACCGGCCTGCGTGATCTGGGCTCCAGGAGGATAATTTGGATTCTCCCACTTGCTGCAGCCCAGAGCACCCTGAAAAATGTCATGGCCACTTGGCATCTCTGGGCCAATGGTGAGTGTCTTACCAGAATCTCAAGGCTTGGAAGATGATGATGATGACGACAGTGACAAATTCAGGTACTCCTGCCACTCTGCGCATTCTTCACCCCCGAGCAAGAGCAATGACAGCTTAGATGACAGTCAGACAGAGGATCTGAGAGAATCCATCCCATTTTCTCTAACTCCCAGGCACTCTAACATGGTGGAAGGCGAACAAGTGGAGCTTGAGGAGGAAGATCAGGAGTTTCAGGAACCATTTTACAAAGACCATTTTAAAAAGTCTGACAACTTGTCTGGAGATAAGGAACCCAGCCCGACCCAACATTTTCCTGGGCATCAGGGGTCGCCTGGTCTCCAAAGGGCCAGTATGGCACCGTGTGGCTCCCAAGACTCTTTCCAGAGTAACACAGACCAGCACTTGGAGATGGAGGCCGCTGCCCCACAGGCCCATGCCAGTGACCCCTACGTGGGGCCTTCACAGTGCACCACGGGAGCAGAGCCCCGCATGCTGCACAAGGAGGCCATCTGGGACAGGGATTTCCCATCCCTGCAGCTGACCTACAGCATCCTAAGGGAGGAGAACAGCATGATCAGGGAGGAAAACAAAGTGCTCAAGGATAAGAATCTCGCACTCGAAGAGGAGAACTATGTGCTCAGGGAGATTTTCTACGGGCTCAGGGAGGACAACGTTGTGCTCATGGAGGAGAATGTCGTGCTTAGTGGGGAATACAACATGTTCAGGGAGCAGTATGACAGGCTCAAGGATGAGAATGACACACTCAGGGAGGACAATGCCACGATCAGAAGAATGTTTAAAAACTTCCAGAACAGCTTGGAGACCCAGGCGTGCATGGTGTCAAGCCTGCAGGAGCAGCTGAAAACTAGCCTGGCTGAACGGAAGAGGGAAGCCCGAGAGCTCGAGTCCGTAGTCCAGCAGACTAAGTGTAATCTCCAGCTAATGACCCAGCGGGCTCTGGATGCAGAAGGAAACATGGAGAGGCTGAAGCAGAAGATCTTTATTCTCCAAGGACAGCTGGAGAGATCCAAGCTGGAGAATGAAAACCTGAGAGCAGACCTGCCTGGGAGCAGTGAAGCACGACTTAGACTTCACGTGGCAAAACCCCCACAAGCTCATAATGGGCGCAAATGGCTCCATCAGGCAGCTCCTGCCTCAGGAATGAAGGTTCTGCCTGTTATTGCTGAGGTCCTTGAATCTACCAGCAAAATTCTCAAATTGTAAGCGGAAAAAGACCTATGAGTGCAATTTTGTGTGAGTTCTATGGATGAGTGTATGAACTGAGATCATGGGTCTCCTACTTGCAGCTATTTGCTGTAAATAAAAGCATTTGCTTTTTCATTCTCAAAGGTACTCAGACTGGTAGCCTTTATCCTTTGTGGAGATACTTTCCTTCTGATTAACTATCAGTTGCAGGTAGTGGTGTGGCTTTAGCTGTTGGTGCTCTGTTTAGGTACTGCAGAACCAGCAGCAAACACTGCCCAGGCTCTGAGCTGCACGGTCCAGCCGTGGTGGGCTCTGCGCAAGAGGCTGTGCCACAGCTGTGGCTGACATGAACTCCTGTGTGGGAGCCAGGAGGAAGCACAACAGCACAGGATGCAACGCTCTTAAACAGTGTGCTCATCCCTTCCCATAGCTGTACCAGCCACAACCAGAGATGAGCAAAGCCCTTGTATTTCATCTTGCTTCCTTTGCCCCTTCTTGGAGAGGTGGGAAGGGTGAGGAGCAGAGATCCAGATGCTGTTGCACATGGTTTCAGTGAGCAGAAGCTCCTTCCTTCCTCTTTCTTTGGAGCTGGCTGCTTTCTGGGCCACAAATTCAGTCTCTAGAAATTGTGCACCTGTTCCTGCATCTGGGGAAAGAGGGTTGTCGGTGGTGAGAGACCTCTGGGAAGTTGTGAAGTCATATATGTGAGCTGTGGCAGTGCCTTCCCTCCCATACTGATGTCAGTGTTGGATAAGGATGATCTTGGCATATGCAGGCTGCCTAAGGAAGGTGCCAGTTGGAGAGGATGCCCTTCCTCTCTTGGCTGGGGCTGGCATAGAGGGGTGTACCTACACTGCCCGCCTTTGTCGCCTCCCAGAGTCATATGGGAGCCTGCGGCCCAAACTCACCATGTAATCACTGAGGTTGCATTTTAGCTTTATCTGAGCAGGATCATCTGTGGACATGAAGTGACCTTTCTTCATCACATCAACATTTCTGATTAATTCAGGTTACCAACCCCGGGTTCTGCTGTAGGTTTACCCAGCTAACAGCAAAGTTCCTGTATCTGGTCAAACTGACCCTCCTTAAAGACTTGGATGCTGTAGGGTAGTGAAGGGGTGGGAGCTGGCAGAGTTCAGTGCCAAAGTGCTTTTTTCCTGATGGGAATTTTTGGGCAACTGCTTACTTTTGCCTCTGTATGGTGAGTTGTGGATTACAAGGTTGTTGTCTTCTCCCGGTCCCATAATACCCTTTGGTCTGAACAACCATGTTTGTGTTGCCACAGAGCTTAAACTGCTTCAGTAACCAGGAGGAGAAACTGCTGGTTAAACTTCATCCTATCAGAGGTGTCTGAAGCTCCTTACTTGATGCTTTCCAGTCTGTGCTCCTAACTGGGGAAAGCTGGTGGGCTCCCTCAGCCACATGAAACCCCATTCTGCAGCACTGATGACTGAGACAAGGATGGTTCTCACCAGCTTTTCCATCCTAGACAGTACTTGCTGTTCCTCTCTCCTATCCATGTATGAGCACTTACAAGCAGATCTAAACTTTAGATTTGACCCCCAAATCTTTGTATTTGTCCCATATCTGGCAAACACTAGTTGCTCACCAGTGAGGCTGGGAGTAAACAAATTAGCTGGCTCTGTCTGTATCCTGTGCTCTGCGCTGGCTGCTGTAATCCAAAGGCTACATAGCAGGATTAGCATGGGTGTACAAAGCCCTTCCTAATCTGTGAGTCATTACCCCTTCACTTCATTTCACTTCCCAGCAGCTCTGGGCAGACAGATAGGTGAGCTCTTGAGTCTTTGGTTTCCGCATTCTTCCATTCTGGGAGGACTGGATCGAGACATAACACCTGCTGCACATCCTCCCAGGACTCTGCTGCTGAACTGCTCCTTGGATGCTGTACACAGGGCATGTGCAAGGTTTGTTTGCTCTAACCGGCTTCTCCTTGGCTACCCCTAAGCCTTTCCTTTCCATCAGTTCTCGTTTTTGGTTCTACCACTTAATTTTCTTCTTTTCTTTGAAACAGGGGGGATGTTCTGTGCACTCTGGAAATAAATCCCCTCTGGGTCAGGCTGAGTTGATGGGATCCCTGGGGGCTGCTGTGCATGCCCATGCTTTGTTAGCCATTGTGTGTGAGGTATTTAGCCTGGCTGAGCTCTCGTCCTGGTGTAAGCTCTGATATTAATATAATGGCTCAGGGTGAGGGCCCTGTGAGCTGCTCAGCTGTTGTGCCCTTGGTCTGGAGAGCAGTGACCAGCCAGCCCTGCTCCCCTACTGGCAGTAGATGTTGGGGAGGGCAGAAACTGTGGGCCGTGTGACCCAGTCTGCATCCATCAGCTCCTCACCTGACTAAGCCAGGCTGTGGCACAGTGCCCATGGAGACCTCCAGACCCACCCTGAGCAAACAGTTTTAAGCCCTGTCCGCTGCTCTGGACTGGGACGGGTGCTGCCAGCAGAGGTTCTGACTGGGCTTTGCTTTGTTCTTCTCTGCCAGGTGTGTGCCAGGAGCACTTGCAATGGCAGTGCCAGTCCCAGCTCACCAGAGGTGAAACCCGGAGCCACCTCGTCCCATGTGAGTGCTGCTGCATGAGTTCCTGTGCCATTCCAGCTCCCGTGGCCCCCTGACATCTGATGATACAGTGAGCCATGGGCAGCGTCCGAGTCAACAGGTGAGTAACCCCCCTGTCAAGGACTGCTGCTGCCCTGGGTGGCCTGGTCCTCATCATCTGGCCCCTCAGGCCCTACCTTCAGCCTACCTTTTGGTATATTCTTCTCAAATTACCTGTCAGGGTCTTTCCCTTTCCTGTTCCAAGGTGTGACTCCTCTCTCCTTCTCCAAACCAAAACATGCTGTACATAGGGGTAGTGCTTGGAGGAGTACTATTGAGGAGAAGCAAAGCACTGCATGGTGCTGGACCAGAAATTACAGATTCCAGGAGGGCTGCAGAAGCCACATGTCCCCAGGAATCACAACTCCAGCCACCAGATCTTCCCTTCCTGTGAGATGTGGATGGGTGTCTTGAAGCCCATGCTGGTGGACTCCAGCTGATGTGTCAACACTATGGAGTTGTAGGGAGACACTTCCAGGGTCCTGTGAGGCTGCAGCTCAGCAGGCATGAGGGCAAAGTGGTCTTGGCAGTTCAATGCACTCTCTCGATTTCCTCAGTGGTCAGAGCATCTTCTACCATCACATCTTTAAGGAGTATCTGCAACTGTCTCAGCATCACATGAGGGACAGCGTCAGAGCCGCCTGCAAGGGAGGGGAGACAGAGGGGTAAATGTCTCCCAGAAAGCATGTGTAGCTTCTGCCAAGGAAACTACCAGCACTTTGACTGTTGATCTCCAAATTACACCTTTGGCCTTGGATACAGGATGCTGGAAGCCATGCATGTTGCTGTGGCAACAGAATTGTCCTGAGTGCAGGAAGTGTATAAACATTGTCAGCACGCACCATGAAATCGGTGAGCAGAGCAGAGGAGAAAATAGAAACTCCCAACCTCGCATAATATCAGGGCCAAAATGTGGCCAGGCAGTGGGTGCTTGCTCCCAGGCTTCCTGGCTATCCCAGCCACTGTCAGGTTTCAAAGACTTGTACCTCTCCTGACCACAAGGGCTAGAAAGTACCACAGAGGACAAGCTTCTGCTGCTTTGCTGCCTTGTCAGGACTTTGCTAGATACAACCTCCTGGCAGCAAGACTCAGCAAATATTGCAGCTGACCTCCACCAATTTGGTCAGAGAGGCTCCATGGTGCAATAACCAGTAAAATGTGCTGTTGTAAAATTCAACAATACTCTAGCCCTGTGAGCCACCCACATGTCTCCTGCCCTTGTTGTCTCAGTGAATATGTGAAGTTACTCTTCACATATTTCTGATGGATATGCCTGTTTCTCCTCTTCCCAGATACAGCATCGTCTCAACTGAAGAGGATGGACACAAGGTCTCTGCACTGGGCAGCATCAACGGGCACAGCCGGAATGGGAAGGGCCATGCTCCCCAGCGGAAGCACCGCAACCGTTTTGTGAAGAAGAATGGCCAGTGCAACGTCTACTTTGCCAACCTGAGCAACAAGTCTCAGCGCTACATGGCCGACATCTTCACCACCTGTGTGGACACACGCTGGCGGTACATGCTCATGATCTTCTCGGCTGCCTTCCTGGTCTCCTGGCTCTTCTTTGGCTTTCTCTTCTGGTGCATCGCTTTCTTCCATGGTGACCTCAATGCACCGGTGGTGGGAGGTGGTCCCTCTCTCCTAAAGCCCTGCATCATGCACGTGAACAGCTTCCTAGGGGCTTTTCTTTTCTCAGTGGAGACACAGACAACCATTGGGTATGGCTTCCGCTGCGTGACTGAGGAGTGCCCGCTGGCTATCATGGCAGTTGTGGTCCAGTCCATCGTGGGCTGTGTTATCGACTCCTTCATGATTGGCACTATCATGGCCAAGATGGCAAGGCCCAAGAAGCGGGCCCAGACCCTTCTCTTCAGTCATCATGCAGTCATCTCCGTGCGGGATGGCAAACTGTGCCTCATGTGGAGGGTGGGCAACCTGAGGAGGAGTCACATCGTGGAGGCCCATGTCCGAGCCCAGCTCATCAAGCCCTACATGACAGAGGAAGGGGAATACCTCCCCCTGGACCAGCGGGACCTAAATGTGGGCTATGATGTGGGTCTTGATCGTATATTTTTGGTCTCACCCATTATTATTGTTCACGAGATTGATGAGGAGAGTCCACTCTATGGGATTGGCAAGGAGGAGTTGGAGACAGAGAACTTTGAGATTGTGGTTATTCTGGAGGGGATGGTGGAAGCCACAGCCATGACCACACAGGCACGAAGCTCTTATCTCGCTAGTGAAATCCTTTGGGGTCATCGTTTTGAACCAGTTGTGTTTGAGGAGAAGAACCACTACAAAGTGGATTATTCACGCTTTCACAAGACCTATGAGGTAGCTGGCACACCTCGCTGCTCAGCCCGGGAGCTACAAGAAAGTAAGATGACTATCCTACCTTCTCCCCCACCTCCCAGTGCCTTTTGCTATGAGAATGAGCTGGCACTTGTCAGTCAAGATGAAGATGAAGATGATGACGAAGTGGGTGTGGTGTTAGGGGGCAGCACCAAGGAGGAGGGAGGTATCATCCAGATGATGGATTTTGGAAGCCACCTGGACCTGGAGCGGCTCCAGGCAACTCTGCCTCTAGATACAATCTCATACCGCAGGGAGTCAGCCATCTAATTCCTCCAGTCTCCCCATTCCATTCCTATTGCCCACAGTCTCCTCTGTTCTGCACCCGTACACTGGATAAGTTCCTTGACCACCAAATGATGTCTCCCATGACTGCCTCTCAGCCCCTGAGTACATCAAAGCCTGGAGCTGCTCTGATATACTCCCTTTCCTATGAAGTCATACTGCTTGGAAGAGGAGTGAGGATACACTACTCTTCCCAGGTATGCAGTTTATACTAGGATCCCTTTCCTGCCCAGAGACAGGAGAGCAGCAGGCCTGATTTCTTGTCTCTGGAGAGGTGACAGGAGTCCCTGCCTTCAAAGGACAGACTGGGACCTGCAGCAAGTGCATCTGCTGCTGAAGCAACAGCAGACTTTCTGTCCCCTCTCAGTACGGGTAGGCCCAATGGCTGTCAGGGGTCATGGCCATCTCTAGGAGAGGAGCAATTCCTAAGCACTGACCAGACGAGGATGGAAGGGAAAGCTCAGGACTCCTGGAGGGAGTGGGGAAGGATCTCAAGGGACAAGTTTACTTGCATGTTTGTTGCTTGTTGCACAGGACTGTCTCTTTGTATATAAAACAGAAGAAGAAATGAAATCCGTATTCTTCCACTGCAAATGTGAAGGTAGGAGACAAGGACATACTACATAGCCTACTCTTGGCTTTTGGTATCTGTCACCTCCAGAAGCAGCTCAGCTCCACGGACTCAGACCCAGTTTTCCCGGTCCTCTTGAAAAACACATCCTGCTCCTCTCCTGAAACGCCTGGCGGAGGAGGCAGGGCCCAGTTCTTGCCACACTCAGACTGCTCCCTGGCACGGCACAGCTAGGATGACAGACAAATGACCTGACTGAACAGCAGACCCTCCACTTGCTCCTTTCACCTCCTTCATTCTTCTCCCTGCTGCCATCAGCTGTAAAACTGAATTTGTAACTATTTATTTTTAATAAAGTCTAATATCCCAAGGGGAGGTTTGGAAGCAAAGGACAAACCCCACGGCTGCAGCCTGGTATAGAGACTGATGAGGGTTATTAGCGCTAATGTTTGCTGTTTATATGGTGTTGGAGCCTGAAAGCTCCAGCACAAGGGCTCCCTTGTTCTGGGCCTCTCTGGTAAAGACCCACAATAAGACACTCAGAGAATTTGTTAGGGGAAGAAGGTCATACAAATGTGTGTACAGAGGGAATCATTTGCATTAAAATCACCAGTAGGATGGGTCAAAAAATTCTGCTTGCTTCGGAGATGAGAGTTTTGCCCAGGGAAAGGTTATAGTTATGCTTGATAAAGAGGCAGAGATGTGCAAGACATTGGTCTAGATGGAAGGCCCAAAATAACCATAAAAAAGTCAAAGCCTCTTTTTTTGCTAGAGGCAAGTAGAGGGGAAATTAGGGAGGTCATCAACCAAAGCTAGACTTGTAACATCACTTTGCTGTGATTTCACAAAAGAAGTGAAAACCTGATGAGCCTTTTCCTTCAGGAGCAGCAGAATCACCCCTTCAAAACTTCAGATGAGATGAGGGCAGAGAGAAAAGCAGGGAGCTCAGGAAGCTGCTCTGGGCACCCAACAGATGTGCTATAGGTGGAAAGGCTGAGGGAATTATGTCCCACCCAACCTCTGACCTAAAAGCAGAAAAACAGCGTCTCAATATCTATCTGGAATTGGTTTAAGAAGCAACAGAAAGAGGGGAAGAAGCAGAAGCATAAGGAAGGAAATAGCAGGACTGAGAGGAAGAAGCAGACACAGCAGGCAGGTGGCACAGGAGGAAGGGGAAAAGAGGAAGAGGAGGTGAGGTAATATGGAAGTGTGTTTCAGAAAGAGCACAGATAGATTAACAAGACATGTCTAGACCCAGTCACAGCCGTTTCTCGTCACAGAATGTAGGTTCTGTGGGGAAGCAGCTCTCCTGTCCAGGTTGTTCCATTCACTGGAGTAACTCCATTCAGCACCACTCTCCAGGCCTGGCTATGCAACTAGTCTTCTACCCAGAGAACAGTGCACCCATCCAAGCCAGACAGTTTCTCCAGGAGAATGCTGTGGGAGACAGTGCCAAAGGCTTTACTGAATTTCAGGTGGACTATATCCACAGCCTTTCTCTCATCCACTAAGCATGTCACCTAGTGACAGGAGATAGGAGGAGATCAGGTTGCTCAAGCGGGACCTGCCTTTCCCAAACTCATACTGGCTGGACCTGATTCCCTGGTTGTGCTGCACATGCTGTGTGATGGCAAGGTGATTTGCTCCATGACCTTTCTTGGCACTGAGGTCAGGTTGACAGGCCTATAGTTGCCTGGATTCTTCTTCTTGCCTTTCTTGTGGATGAGTGTCACATTGGCCAACCTCCAGTCACCCAGGGCCTCTCTGGTAAGCCAGGACTGCTGGTAAATGATAGAGAGTGGCTTGGTGAGCTCTTCTGCCAGCTCTCTCAGTACTCTTGGGTGAATCCCATCCAGCCCCGTTGACTTGAGAGTGTCTAAGTGGTGTAGCAGGTCACTGAGCATTCCCTCCTGGATCATGAGGGCTCTGTTCTGCTCCCTGTCTTCCAGCTCAGGGGGCTGGGTACCCTGAGGACGACTTGTCTCACTATTAAAGACTGAGGCAAAGAAGGCATTCTTCCTTACTCTGTAGCAATCCTTGGCTCCAGAGCCCATCCGCCAGAGCAGTTTGCCTCAGAACCTTCATTGAAATGGTGGATACACCCGGTTTTGAACAGCCACCATCTCTCCCAGCTCTGCCAGTTTTGAGGCAGAGCTCCCTCTCCTCAGAGCTCCAACGTTCCCCACTTGAGAACTGGGGTGCCTCTCTCAGCGCTAATTTCAAAGGTTTGCTGGTTTAGGAAATGAAGTCACTCCCTCTTTTCATTATTTACTTACTTTCCCCTGAGGGAATAAGCAGGGACTGGTATTGATCTGGCTTTTAATACAGCTTTCAGAGTTGGGTGCCTGCCACTGGCCATGGCAGTGGAAACAAACTAATGGACCGAGAGAGAAGGACTTTGCGTGCGAGGACACGGGCATTCAGGACACAGGCTGAGGTGGTGGCCTCCAGGAGAGGAGGAATCCTCATGCCTGGGCACCCTCCTCACTGACATACAGCATCCATTGGAGGCAGATGGCAGTGCTTGGTGGGACAAAGTGCCCACTGCCCATTAGCTCTTGGGAGGCTCATCACCAAAGAGTGAGTGTCCAGAGATGCCAGGCAAGGATGGTGCACCAGGGCCATGGGCATGCACAGCTGGAGTGGCTGAGGCAACAAAGAGGTCAGCACTGCTGCTCCTCACATCAGCTGGTGTGGCTCTTGGGGGAAAAATGGGAAAAGGTAGGTAAAGCTGAGCAAACAAGCATCATGCAGCCACTCTGATGTTCCAGCCCCCTCCATGTGTCTGAACCTGCTGGCCCTTTCCATGTCATGTTTGGCATCACAATGGAAAAGTCACTGAGGCATTGAGGAATATTCAGTTACCTGCTGTTCACAATAAAATTGTGAGAAAGCTTTCAGTGCTGTCAGATCGTTAGAGAGGAGAGAGAAAAGGGGGCTGAAAGGAGGGGGCGGAGGGAAGGAGAGGAACAGCCAGAGTGCAAGAGAACAGAGATGATGGGTAAATCTCTGCCCACCAGACACTCTTCACGCAGCTGTGCTGATGTTGCTGCACACAGCTCCTCTAATGACATGGTGCAGTCACTCCAGGGACTGTTTCTGCAAGTTGCACACATGTCCACAGGCTTTGCTGATACACAGCTTCTGCACAGGAACTTCTGTACCTGCACACTAAAATCACAGAGTACTCATGTCCAAGTACACACTGCACGTACCTACATGTGTGCGCCACACAATGGGGCATAATTCATCCTCCACCACAACTTCATTCCATAAACACCCAATGCCATACACAAAAATGCCACACAGCAGCAGGATCTTAAAAAAAGTCTTCTATGCTGGGAATTCTCTTACGTGCCTGTGAAAAGCCACCAGGATAATCCATCTTGGAAGGCTGTTTGCTATAGAGGAGACTCAACATTTTTGAGGATTCTTCAAATCAGCACTCCGAGACATTCATAATCATAAACACACCAAGTATTTTATCTTTTGGATACAGTATGTGTAGTGTCGTCTTTCAGGTAGATGACGCCTCCTCGCCCTGTGCTCTCCAGAGAAGATATCTCTATCGAATGACAGAGCATGATGTCCTCCAGCTTCCTCCCTCCTCCAGGATCTGATGGAGGGACCACTTTCTCAGGACCTGGATCTAATCCCAAGGGGCTGGCAGCTTGCTTTTCAGGAGGAAGACGCTGTTTCTTTGTTTATTCGACCACAATCTATATTTCTTTCCTCTCTTCTGAACTTCTTACTTGGCTCATTATTGAAAGCTATTCAAATACCAGAAATATAATGGAGAGAGGAAGGACTTCTTCCCCATGAATAAGATCCAGGCACTGGTTCAGTTCCTCTACCCCATGACAACTAACCAAGCTGTTGTCACTCTTGCCAGCTTTCAAATGAATATTGTTGTTTGAAATGACACTTGGGAAGCTTGTTTCATGTTTTATTTTTGGTGACACTTTTGGACAACCCTTTTAAAAAGAAATCATCATTGGCACCTTTCAATTCACACAAAATTTGCTCAGTGAAACATTTTGATACACACTGCAACTAAAAATATTTTCAAGAAACAGAACAATAATCTCAGCTGGGGAGAAAATGGGTTTGGATTTCCAAGGTTAGGAAATGGTGTTGAAAATGTCTGTGGTACTGAACAAACATGTTAGTTTTCAAACAGCTAGTTTTCATTCTGGTTTTGCCCAGGAGTGGAGCAGGGCACATGGCACTGCCCCAGCAGCTGCGTGCAGGCTTGAGTCCTCTGCAAGAATGCCTCCTCTGTTTGCTTTGAGCTTTAGCATCTCTTCTTTGCCTTTGCAGGAAGGCCTGAGGTCTCTCCCAGCTTTTGGACAGTGGCCACGGTTTTAAATATTACCAAAAAACCTCCCAACCCGGTAGAAAAAAGCCTTACCTTCCCAGGCCATTAAGGGCTTGCTCTTGCCCCCACGAAGTCAATGGGACTTTGGCATTGCCTGTGATAAGAGCAGAGCTGGGCCCTAATGGAGCACCACTATTGGAAAACCCCGCGGGCGCCGGCCCTGTGCTAAATCCGCAAAGCCGGGACGGACTATTGCTGCACGCGCAGGAGGGGGAGAGGAGGGAAAGCAGCCTACTGGGATGTTGAACGCATGGGGTGGGGTAGGGTCAGCTGGGGCAGCCTCGCTGGGGCAGATCGACGGGACAGCAGAGGGATGAGGAGGCAGGGAAGGCAGTCTGTCTCCGCAGCCACCTGCGACACGGGATCCAACGGCCGGGGTTGTCACACCAGCAGGAGATGAGATGGCAGCCAGTTCTTGGAAAGGCTACACAGGCTTCTCCTCCTGCCATGGTCAGCAGGGTGGGGGTCCTGCCCTACCCAGCCCCGGTGTTTTTCCGCCTGCAGGACGAAGCACAAGGAGAGTGAGTGGCACTGAGAGACTGTAGAAGCCCGGGCATTGCCTGGCCTCAGAGCACCATCTAGAGCTGAAAGCAAGGCTGGCATCCCCGCGGGTCCCGGCGTCATAGAATCATACAATTGCTTGGGTTGGAAAAGACCTCTAAGGTCACCGAGTGCAATCGTTAACCCCGCACTGCCATGTCCACCACTAAACCATGTCCCTAAGTGCCACATCTACATGTCTTTTAAATACCTCTGGGGATGGTGACTCCTCCGCTTCCCTGAACAGACTGTTCCAGTGCTTCACAACCCTTTCAGAGAAGAAATTTTTCCTAATAACTGAACTAAACCTTCCCTGGTGCAACTTGAGGTCATTTCCTCTTGTCCTATTGGTTGTTACCTGGGAGAAGAGACTGACTCCCAACTGGCTACAGCCACCTTTCAGGTAGTTGTACAGAGTGATAAGGTCACACCTGAGCCTCCTTTTCTCCAGGCTAAACAACCCCAGCTCTCTCAGCAGCTGGGGTTGTTCAGCCTTGTGTTCCTCCCTA